GGTAAAAACGGGAATCCTATTACTAAGACTTCGGTGTCCGTTCGTCCGTCCGTCTGTCAGAAAGGTCTATCTTATGAACCGTTATAGCTAGACAGTTGAAATTTTCACAGATAATGTATCTATGTTGCCGCTATAAGAACAAACACTAAAAACAGTATTAAATAAATGTTTATAAATAAAAAAGTACTTTCACTTTTAAACATTATCTTTTAAGTAAGAATTTTACACAGAATCTTTCAAGTCCTCGGTGGCCGCGTGGTTAAAGGCGTTAGGACTTTACGCTGCTATGACGTTGGAGCCGTAGTAAGGCAGGTTCGAATCCTAGTCAAGGCGATTTTTTAATCGTTTTTTTTATTTTTACATATTTTTACATATTAATTTTTACTTTTTACATATTTATTATTCATTAATACAATTTTTAGTAATGTGTTTCTTCATTTTTTTTAAATTACTTATACGCGCATTCAAAATTTCAGCTAAATCGGAAAAAAAGTTTATAATAATATAGTGCCTAATATTGTATAGATAATGAATGGTACTTCGTGCGCGTCGCTCTTGACCAATTTTTATTCATTGATTAATTTTTTGACATATTGAAAAAAAATGCATTCTTCATAGGAATTTTTGCTTGTTCTAAAATGGTTAATCTCCGGTATGTATAGACTTTAACTTTTTTATTACAGAATAAACAATCTAAACCCATATTGACAACAGGTGAAGTCTAAATACACTTAAGAAAAGAACAAAATAAACGAAACAAAATATTTGTGATCCTTTTACTTGCTTTGATGTAAAAAACATCTATTTTTGAATAGAGGCTCTAAAAGAAACCCTAAAATATGCTATTTAAGACACCCTTTTTCGAATGTAGGCTGCGGAAAGATTAGTTTGCCACCCTTTTCTCAAACACCTGGTTTTAAAAAAGGGGTTAAAATACTATAACCGAACACGAAATTGTATAGAAGATTTCTTTTAAAGTAATTTTAACAAATAGAGCTTTCTCAGTTCACACAAAAAAACAAGTTGTATACAGTTAGAATCGTGAAAGCTGACAATATTGCTTCAACTGAATATTCTAAGAGGGTATCCATTAATTATGTGAGGGAATCAAGAGGGGGAGGGGGTCAACTCAAATCTCACGTGAGGAAGAGAGGGGATTTCTGCAAATATCACGCAATATTTTGTAACGTTTTTAGTTCGTTACATGTATTTTTTATATATGATTTATATGATGTCTGGCGTATCGTCATCGGATTCCGTATCGTTCAGACCTGATAATTTATTTGGCACGCTTGGCGTAATTTTTACGTTCCCTAGTCGCCAAGCCTGTTATCGTTTCACTGCTCTGTGGAGGCGCTGTCAACATCGCTTCAAGGTTAGGTCGCTCTCCGCGCTTAACCTCACTTTTGTTCACCCGGCTTTTAGAAATGGTAATAATTTAAATCTTGCTGCAAAATCTGAATCAACTGCCATTTCGAAGCAACAGGTAAAGATGAGATATTATCTTTATTAGATTCGTTATTATTATTGAATATTTTTAGGGTAGAGTTTTGGATTGACCCACCTTAACTCGTATTTCTATTTTGCTGGCACAATGGTGTTCTTTTGCTTTTGTCCTCCAGAATGTTGTATTTTCTATTTTGTTTATTTAAAAATATATTTTGTTTATTTAAAAAACACGTAATATATAGAGACCGCCATCTAAGCGTTTAATTTATTCTCAACCGCTCTTCGTATACTTATCAATAAAGAACAAACAAGTAAAAAAACAGCTGATTCGCCGGTAGGTACTTGAACCGTTCAGAGCACAGCGTCTCTTATGACGTCACGGAGCGACGTCAAGCGTCGCCACACCCTCCCCGACCTGTCCAATCGATAGGACATGTACCCCTCTCACCTCCGCGTCTTTCCATTAAACTCGCGGTGGTAGACGACTCTTCAAATGGAGAGATAGCGTTGTGCGGTAATGAAAAGGGGGGTCCAAGGGGTGAGGAGGAGAGAAGCAACGGATATACGTTGAATAATATTAGAGGGAGATTTCGAACCGGTTAAATAAGCGTCACTTTGACTGCCTTTGTCTTTGACTGGCTAATTCCATAATTTTATATAATACTAGCGTGTACCCGCGTCTTCGTTCGCGTCGAATTAATCATTTGTAATGGTGATGATAAAGCAAAGCAAAAATTTCCATTAACATACAAACTGGATTAATTGTCTCACATTTATGTCAACATGAGAAAAAACAATATGGCGATATTATTATATAACTTGGTAATATTTGAGGGACAGTTTCATCACGTTGGAATTTGACTTTCAAAAAATCCATTTGCCTAAAATAAGCTTTTTACGTCAAGCAGTTTAAGCAGAATCGTGGTTAATCAATTACCCAACTTTTTGGAACACCCTGTATGATTTTTGAAAAAATTTCAAAATATGTAAAAAAAAACAAAATAAATTATGCGTGTCCAAGCGTTTTCTCGAAAGACTAAAAGACTAATCGTTTTTTAAATAACAAATATTGAAATATTTGAGGGGCGTTTTCACCCTCTTGAAATTTGAGATTCGAGAAACCCCTTCTTATCGAACCTCTACACCCCGCAGTCAATCAGTTTGTCAAAAATCAGTTTTAAACGTCAAGTAATTTAAGCAGAATCGTGATTACTCAATGGTCATATTTTATGAAACACCCTGTAGGTATAATTTTTTTAAAATCTTAAAATATGTAAAACAACGAAATAAAATATACGTGTTTAAGAGTTTTTCCGAAAAGCTCACCGGTTTTTAAATAAAAAATATTTTAATATTTGAGGGATAGTTTCACCCCCTTAGAATTCGAGTTTCGAAAAATCCCTTCTTATCGAACTACACCTTAAAGTCAATCTGTTTTTCAAAAATCAGCTTTTTACGTCAAGCGCTTTAAGCAGGATCGTGATTAATCAACGACCAGATTTTTCGAAACACCCTGTATACATTTTTAAAAAATCTTAAAATATGTAAAAAACAAAATATAATATACGTGGTTAAGCGTTTTTTTCGGAAACTTGACCGTTTTTTAAATAAAAAATATTGTAATATTTGAGTGGTGGTTTCACCCCCTTGGAACCGGAATTTCGAAAAATCCCTTCTTATCTAACCTCTACACCCTAGAATCAACCTGTATGCCAAAATTGAGCTTCTTACGTTGAGTGGTTTGAGCAGGATCGTGATTAATCAGTGAGTCAGTCACTTAAGGATTTTATATATTAGTTTTATAGATTATAATTTTATTATTATTAATTTAATTATTATTTATTATAATTTTATAATTTAACGATACTATTATAGAAATTACTAAAGGATTATTTGGATGATTCTGAGAATAGAGACTGATGACTAATAAGGATACAGCCAGATAAGAAAAAAACTGAAATACAGAGAAGAGATGTTGTAAAACTCAAGTTAGACCAGAAAACATCCCCCTTTAGAACATTTTCTGTAATGGCAGTGACCGGAAGTAAAAGCTATACTGTGCCAACAAACACTAGAGGCGCTGCTAGTCATTAAAAAGTTAACAAATATCCATTTGTTTTTTTTAAATATGTCAATATTTTTATTTCGTTGTGTTTTGTGAATTACTGGTGTATTTGTACTTATTCTTCCAAGTTAATTTTATTTTAATTATTCGTATTTAATTGCAATGGCTTTTTTCCACCGAGAACGCAAACCTGCGAAGAAGAACTGTAGCGTTCCTAATTGCGACAACAAAAATGGCAGTTTTTTTCGTTTTCCAAATCCCCGAAAAGATTCGAATTGTTTTGTACGTTTTTTTTTCAGTTTATAGGTATGTAAAATACATTATTTATAATAACATCAATAAATTGTTTTATTTTTATAAACGTTCGATCGGGTATTGATATAAACATTTTTTTTATTATTAAATATTTTGTAATTTATCAATTAATTATATTTAATTGATAAATTATTTTTTATTGTAATTTTTAATATACAGGATGCTACAAATTCGGGGTACGAGCATTGGTATCGCAGTAACCGTAATAAATATGAACATTAAAATTAATTGGTGCGTTAAATTGGGGCGCCCCCCCTTTAGGATGTTTACCAAGATGCCACCAACAAAGTTTTAAAAATTTCAAGGATTCGTGAGTTTTTTTTTGAAAATCAATTTTATTTTTTTCTGTCGTTACTTTTTAGAAAATAAAAAAAATAATTGCACATTCCCATAGCCACTTTATAAGGGCTATCTGTCAGTATTTTTAGATTTTCAAATTAGCTGATAATTTGCGAGATACAGAGATCAACTTAATTTTTTTAAATACGGACCTGCATTTTTTTAGTTCAGGTTTTGAAAGACCTCGGTCTTTGAAAAAACCGTCTTTGACGACGTTTTTTTTACAATCATAGGATATTATTTGAAAAAAAATCCTTATGAACATAATATCGCACGTTTTATTTGCCGTTGCCAAGTTATTTGGAATTAATCACAGCTAGAGAAATTAAACAAAACAAAAAATAATCTAAAAATATCGTCAGCGTGTGAAAAAAAAACGAATCTTTATAACTTTGAGTATATTATAGACAGAAAATACAATTTGCAGTTAAACTACCAGGGATCCTCTTGTTGAACAAACTCTCCTGCTAGATAGAAATAGCCATTATATGCAAGATTCAAAATAAAAAGTGGATACATTTTCTGTAAAATGATAAATCTTCGTAAAAGTTTTAAAAAAGCACCCTGTATATTTGCAGTTTGTTTTTCGAATTTTGTCTCCAATGATTCATTCCTTTGGCACTCATTTACGTATGCCATAAACCAACAACACCCAGTAATAATGTACAATAAAGCATTGACTTTCGTTTCAAAAATAAGGATTAAAAGGTAGGCAGGTACTTAAATATCGATTAAGTAAGATTGTGGGCAAAGAAAATAAAGTTGTTATGTCAATTTTTAAATTAGATAAATAGGACACAATAAAAATTATGGAAAAACCTATTGTACTTACTCCATTTTCATTTCCTAGGAACCTTATCCGTGGACTTTGTACACTAAATTTGTTCTGAAAAGAAAGAAAAACATCATTAGTTAAAAAAAACAACAAATTAACAGAAAGAAAATGATGAAAACTACAGTTATTTTTAATAATTCCGATTCCTATTAAATTTTATAAAATATATAAAATCAGTAGCTCCAGCCATTTTCTGTTGAATACACAGCTTATTCACTACCAGATGACCATCTTCCCTTGTTTTTTAGGGTTCCGTACCCAAAGGGTAAAAACCATAGACTTAAAATAAAATATAGACTGAGCATCTCATTCATAAATAGCTGGAACATGCGGTCAGACACTGTCTTGTTATTGTTGTGTTATTGTTTTAGGTTATAACGAGTGCGACACGAGCGATAGATAGGTTGTCTCTGTCGTAACGGTCGTTCCCTGACGACTCTGCCGAGAAACACAACACTGTCTTTCGTTTCTCAAGTACACCTGAACTCTCCGTATCATAGCCGGGTAATTTTTTTATTTTAATGAAGCTATAATTAAATTAAAAATATATCGTATTTAAACTTTTTTATATTTTATTAAGATTTAGGACAGGTTTTTTAAATAAAAGTTTAGAAAAAACAATTTAGAGTCCAAATAAAATACACGTTATAGAAAAAATGTTATAATCGAAATTAGGTAATTTTTGAAATTAATAATAAATTATTAATTTTAGTCAAACATTTACAACCCCTAATATTAATCAAAACAGGATCTATTCCACAGATATAATAGAATCGGCGACAGGGAGAAAAAAAAATATGATTGTTGTAATTTTTTTTCTGGTTAAGTGATGTCTTATTATGTAAATTAGAGAAAACATAATATCTGTTCCATTAAAGCAAGGAAGGTGATAGGAAGTGGATAAAATAAAAACTACATTTATTTAACTCGGTACTGTCTTTATTATACCGGATGCGTCTCAAAAGTGGCTCATCCCCCATAATTTTTTTATATTTTCAAATAAAAAACAAGATTTAGTATGTTAGTATATGAAATAAATTAGGATTGATTGACGCATTCAATTGTTTTTGGTCACTTCCGTTTCACCGGAAATGACTATAACTTTTAATTTTAAACGGCACCCTCGGTATATTTCTACTTTATTCGATAGAAAATGACACTCTGAATAGAATGACATACCATATGTCAACTTTTGACATTTTCGCATATGGTTTAATTGTAATTGTAACACGCGGTTCATAACGACAATTTGACTCGAAATACCAAGTGTGTGGTATCAAAATATTCATAAAAAAATGCTTTTTCCAAATATGCTAATGAGTCACCCTTGTTCCATTTGAAAAAATTGACATATGTATGATTAAAAATACGATATGTACATCTTTTAACCGGCCTAGACAAGACACGAAACTTATTAGACGATCAAAACTATTTTTCCAAGGCTCCTTGATTAAAACTTAGTGGATTGAAAAAAACTGGATTGAAATTTAAAATAGGATATGTTTTTAAGCGACAATGTCAAAAGTTGACATATGATATGTCATTCTATTCAGAGTGTCATTTTTTATCGAATAAAGTAGCAATATACCGAGGGTGCCTTTAAAAATCAAAAGATGTAACCATTTCGGTGAAACAGGAAGAGACCAAAAACAATTGAATACGTCAATAAATCCTAATTTATGTCATATACCTACTAACATACAAATCTGTTTTTTTATCTGAAAAAATAAAAAAAAGTTATAGGGGTGAGCCACTTTTGAGACGACCCGGTATATTAAAAAATATTGTTTCATAATGTAATATCATTTTAAAATTCTTGTATGTTATTTTAGATTCTGAAGATAATTTTAGAATAAACCGGAATATATTTTTAATAAAAACATTATTAATTATTAACAGGGTTATAATTATGATTTTGTTACAATGTAAGTAAGTAAATAATGTAATGTAAAAGAAAAAAATTCAGATTTTACATTTTACTAAAATATTATCTAAATAAGCGCCTTTCTACAACAACGCCACTGACTCCCAATGGGTAAATTGAGAGTTGCCTACCGGTCAAAAGTCGTTTCAAGACTTAAATGGATTATTTAAGTCAAATTTCTTCACTAAATTTGGCACTGGCGAACCATTTTATAGTTTTGAACAGAAAAAGTCAATAAAATAAACACTTAAGGACTACAAGCTAAGAAAATGCGTTAATACAGCCGGGAGATAGCGGCAACAAAGCTTTACCGCACACGTGCGACACGTACTACAAGGTAATAAATGAATGAATAGGCTCCCTCGCCTCTAATCGGTGTTGTCATATTGTAAAGAACTTATCCTTATTAAACAGTATCCGACTTATAATTTAGTAGTATAAGGACTATTTAATACATCTATGGAATATTAAAACCTACTTTATTAAACTGTAGTATTAATATCTCAATATATATGTGTATAACAAGAAAAAAAATATTGATAATATTAAAGACGTGACAACATAGGCTGGATGAGGAAGGCTCGGTCGACTGTACCCAGAAGTAAACATGTGTACAAAAAAGGTTGTTTGTCCGCGTTGAGATGTAAATAGTGTAGTCTATATTTTATTTTAAGTCTATGGTAAAAACCCTATTACTAAGACTTCGCTGTCCGTCGGTCTGTCACAAAGGTCTATCTTATGAACCGTTATTGCTAGACAGTTGAAATTTTTACATATAATGTATCTATGTTGTCGCTATAAAGAACAAATACTAAAAACAGAATTAAATAAATGTTTATAAATAAAAAAGTACTTTCACTAAACATTATATTTTAAGTAAGAATTTTACATAGAATCTTTCAAGTCCTCGGTGGCCGCGTGGTTAAAGCGTTAGGACTTTACGCTGCTTTGACGTTGGAGCTAGGACGTAGTAAGGCTGGTTCGAATCCTAGTCAAAGCGACTTTTTTTTAATCGTTTTTTTAATTTTTACATATTTTTACATATTTATTTTTACTTTTTACATATTTATTATTGATTAATACAAGTTTTAGTAATGTGTTTCTTCATTTTTTTAAATTACTTATACGCGCATTCAAAATTTCAGCTAAATCGAAAAAAAAGTTTATAATAATATGTGTCTAATGTTGTATAGAGAATGAATGGTACGGAACCCTTCGTGCGCGAGTGCGACTCGCCTAACCTAACCAATTTTTTCAGTATTCGTGTTTTAGAACGCTAGCCTCCATTGTTTTTTTAAACGAATTTTCAATGGAGCTCAGAACCCGACTTATGAGGCACATATTAGGCTAAGAATTATCATTCTGTTTCCAAATTTCATGCAAGGCAAAACTCAGTAAACTGCTTCCATACATATTTGTCTGAACACTCGGTATTTCTGGGCTTCGCATTTTTAATAGAATCGCCGACTTGAGGCAACAAAATTTTACCAAATCTTTCTTTTGCCATTTTGTAATAAGAATTGACGGGATATTTTGTGGAACTGACAGAAATGACTTTGAATTAATATTTCAAGAAATGACAATTACAATATGGCCTCCAAGCGATAATCACTTAAATGATTATCACTTATTAATAACATCCTTCTATACAGGGTGTCCCAGAAATAAGTGCAAATATTTTAACTTGTAGTACATTTCGGCATCAAAAACACGCCTATAAGGTTTCTTTTGCAAAAATATTTTTGGAAATTTTTTTAGTTTTAAGTTAAAAAGCATAATTTCTTGATAATATGGCAACACAGGTAGTATATTAAATTTACATGAAAGAAAATCCAGAAAAGAGCCAGTGGTTCTCAAAATTTAAGCAAAAAAGAATTTTTTGTATAAGTCTACCGAGTATAACCGAGTTATTTTTGAAATTTGTTTGAAAATTTAATAAAAAAGATTTTTTTTGGAAAAATTTTGAGAGCCACCGGATTTTTTTCTCTATTTGCATCCCTTTTAGTGGCCTAACCATAGAGAAAAGTTGTAACCTATAACTATGGTAATATCAGAGATAAAAAATTATACCGTGAAAAATTTTCAGTTCTAAAAAGGTTTCGAAAAATATGCAGGAAAATTTAAATGAAAATGCACGATTTTCAACATCTTCTTTTTGCGAAAAAAAACTCATAGACGTATTCCTGGGGTGGAAATATACAACCCCTCAAAATATTTGCACTTATTTAGGACTCACCCTGTATACTCCTAGTTAGCTATATTTTCAAATAACAAAAAATTACAATTGATTAATAACAAATTAACCATTTGGTTTTAGATTATCTTTTAACAGCAAAGATCGAACTGTGTAATGTTTAGTGATATTTTTAAACCAAAATAAATAAAAATAAATAATATGTACTCGACAAGATTTGTTATTATGTATAAACAGCTATTTTGCGTTTTACAGTATTAAAAATGTCTAAATAATATTGCTCTAATGGACACTAATTTATTGTTAATTATTAAACTATGTGAGAAATACTCATTTAAAGCTTCCACAGAATATTATACGAATACGCGTGTATCTCAGTACGCATCAATAACAGCAGATAAATAAAAAACAGACAATCGCATATCGTTACGTCACAGGTAGCGATCGATGACGTCAAAGGTAATTGAGAGCTATGCACGTTATTCAACATAAACAGAGATACGTAGAAAATCGACAGATTCCGAATAATAATAAAAATAAAAAAGGCGAGCGAGATAAAAATAGCGCTTATAGGTTAAGAAAGGTCAGAAAGACGCAGTTGTTTGAACATAATATACACGTACAAAGTTAAATTGTTTAAACAAAACGATTGATAGCGTGTGATGCTTAAAAAGATTTATTTTAACGGTTGTAAATGTAAATGATGATTTATCGTTTATCCCGGTTGCTATTAAAATACAAGTAACAAATAAGTTACAAAAATTGAATTAATCTTTTAAGATACATCCTGAAATATACAGGGGATATCAGGATATAATTTAGATACAAATTTGAACGTTTTGAGTTAAGGTTATTTCCAGGTTTACTATCTTATTAACAGTTATTTTTTATACAAGACGATAATGCAATTTTATCGTCGTGTATAAAATAATA